ATTTGGAAGCAGGCCATTTATCAGAAAGCTGATAGCCTGTCTTCTAGCAATGATTACATTCTCATACAGTAAAGATTTATTACTTCATTGTTTACTTATTCATCTAGTAAGATTTATTATCACATGACAATCTGCAGATTAAGCCATTGCGGTTCATTCTACAGGATAATAAAATATTATCACTCAAAGTTATAGTTTTGCAGACAAAAAACAATATTCACAAATATTTCTAGAGATACAATCTTAATAACAAATGCATACATTAAGCTAGAATTAAGAAAACTTAATCAAAATGCTGCAGAATTAAAATGCTGCTTCTGCAAAGAAGCTGAAAAAACATCTAATTAGCTCTGCAAAATAGATCACAGAGACTAACTACAAGCCACAGCATGACAAAGTAGAGTAGCAACAATGGTGCACTAGAATATCTGCGGGGGGGACGGGGGGACACGGGACCCTTTAGCCTGCAAGCAAAAATTGGTGAAACCACATAACAGACAAAGTAGTATAAAGTGAAAAGGCTACAACAGTATGGGACTTTAGAATTCGGACAAGAACCTGCCACACAACACCCCCAAATATAACAATTGTCGATATGAAAGGGGGAAAAAAAGTCTAGCTAGTGGATATTGCAGTATTTGGAGACAGCAGAATAGAAGAGAAAGAACTGGAGAAAACCACAAAGTACAAGGATCTGCAAATAAGAGTAGAAGGTTTGAGGCAAAAGAAAGCAAAGATAGTATCAATAATAATGAGTGTTTTGGGTATAATTCCAAAACATCTGGAGCAGCACTTGGCATTAACATCATTGGCATTAACAAAATCACCATCAGTCAACTGCAAAAGGGAGCCTTACTTGGAACAGGTTATGTCCTGCAACAATACTTTTAACACCATCAAACAACGACATCTCCCCTTTTCAGGTCCTTTATTTTTATTTATTTTATTTATTTTTTATTTTATTTATTTTATCAAGCAATTATAAGATAACAGGTATAAGTATAAACATAGTTATGGATACATGAAATGGATACATATAAGAAAAATAAAGAAGAAACAATAAAAAAGAAACAATGGGACAGGAATGGTAGGCACGTTGTTGCGCTTATGCACGCCCCCAACAGACGTCTTAGGAAAGGGGTGAGGTCAATAGTTGACAGTCTAAGGTTAAAGTTTTTGGGGTTTGGGGAAGAAACCGCAGAGTCAGGTAGAGTATTCCAGACATTTACTACTTTGTTGCTGAAGTCGTATTTCCTGCAATCAAGTTTGGTGCGGTTAACCTTGAGTTTGTATCTATTGTGTGCTCTTGTATTGTTATGGTTGAAACTGAAGTATTCATTGACAGGTAGGACATTGCAATGTATAATTTTATATACTATACTTAGATCAGACCGAAGGCGGTGTAGTTCTAGGTTTTCTAGGTCTAGAATTTCAAGTCTGGTGGCATAAAGTATTCTGCAACAAGAAGAGGAGTGGAGAAGTCTTCTTGTGAAATATTTCTGGACTTTCTCAACTGTGTTAATATCAGATATGTAATGTGGGTTCCGGACTGATGAGCTGTATTCAAGTATTGGTCTAGCAAATGTTTTGTATGCTCTCATTAGTAGTGTGATATTACCAGAGAAAGAGCTAAGTAGGATTAGGTTAACAACTCTTAATGCCTTTTTGGCTATGTAGTTACAATGGGCTCTAGCACTTAAATCATTAGAGATGAGAACTCCAAGGTCCTTGACAGAGTTTGGATCATCAACAAGGTCTTAACTATTCAGCTTGTATTTTATTTTCTGATTTATTTATTTTTTGCCAATATGTAAGACAGAGCATTTATTTGTTGAGATTTGAAATTGTCATTTGTTTGACCATTCTGATACATAATCGAGGTCTTTTTGAAGGGTAGCAGGATTGTCTGTGGTGTTGAATAGCTTTACATTGTCAGTGAAGAGTATGCAGTTGCTCTTAATATGATCACAGAAATCATTTATGTAGAGTATGAAGAGAGTTGATCCTAGAACACTGCCCTGGGGGACACCACTGTTGACAGGTACAGAATTTGATAGGACACTCCCAATTTTGACCATTTGTTGTCTGTTTGACAGGAATGCTTCTATCCAGTTATGCAGGTGTCCAGAGATACCATAAGATTTTAGTTTTAGGAGTAGTTTGTCCTGTGCCACTGAATCAAAGGCTTTACAGAAGTCTATGTAGATTGCGTCTATTGTTTTGCCCTGGTCGAGTTGTGTAGTCCATATGTTTTTGCAGTGTAGGAGTTGCAGATTACAGGATAGTTTTTTTCTGAAACCAAATTGTTTATTAGAGAGTAGGTTGTTTGTCTCTAAGTGGAGGATAATGGATTGGTTAATAATTGATTCCATGACTTTACAGGTGACACAGCATAAGGAGATTGGTCTGTAATTTTCAACTAGGCTGGGATCTCCCTTTTTGAAGATACGGATGACTGTGGCTTGTGACCATAGTTTTGGCAAGGAGCTGGTCCTGAAAGATTTTTCAAAGATTATGCTTAGAGGTTCGGCTATGGCAGCTTTTTTAGGATAGCATTTTTAAGAAGTAGGCACATATTCCATCTGGTCCAATAGATAGAGATGGTTTTAGATTACGTAGTGCTTTTTCAACTTTGTCTTCACAACGTTGAAATACTGAGTCCTTCACAATGTTGTTGTGAAGGACTCGGTAGCTGAATAAAATCCAGTCTAAAAGTCTGTCTGACTGTGCGACTAACCATAATAATATTGTTTCATGTTTCAGGAAAATAGAGTAACATATTACATATTATAATAAAAACTTAACAAGAAATCAAAGCTAGGGGGCTTTGACAGAATTCCATTCACCCACTTTTGCCAGGCAGCTATGTGAGACCCTAGAACAGCATACTGTATATTACATCTCTTTGCCACAAGCTGCATTGGTTGCCACTTGCCAGTTTCCTTTTTGGTCCAATTGGTGCTGGTTTTGACCTTTAAAGCCCTTCATCAGACAAGGCTGGGTTATTTGAGAGATCACTTTCTTCCAATTATAACTGTCATCCAGTGAAGTCCAGCAGAAGAGATATGCTGCCAGTCTTGTCTGTGAAACAATTTCATCTGGTGGGACACCGTCCCCATCTCTCACACACATACACCCTGTGTGAAATTGGCTCTATCCTTGACATCCTTCCAGAAATCATGGCTGTGTCATCAGGCCTCAGGATCTCAAGGAAATGGTGATTTCATGAGATGACTACATTGTTTTTAGAATCAATTCTCTCCATTATCTGTTATTAATAATATTGTTAAAGTCTTTTAATTACAGGTTTTTTTTAACAGTTGGATTTTATGACTGCTTTTATTTTAAGCCCCATAGTCACTTTATTGTGAAATGGGAGTCTACATAAGTAAGATAAATGACAGACAGACAGATAGATGATAGATTTATAAATTAGAGATTCACCCAAGGTTTTGTGGCCCTTGATATATTTATATTTTTGAAAAAGTAGTTATCACTTGTGATGGACTTTGCCTATACAAATAGTGAATGTTGCAATGAAGACAAGAACTCTGCATTTTGAAAAGGACTAGGAAGAATTATATCACATCTCATACAAGCACAGTATTTTTCTCCTGTTAATTAAAGTATCCACATCAATTTTCAGTGTTCTAAAAAAAGATATTGCTATTGCTTATTCAAGGGTGGCTTTAATGAGTTAATTCCTTAAAGCAGCCACATTTTTTTCCAGGCTTATGCTCACAACGGTGCTTGGATTGTATGAGATCTGAAGCATTTTGTCCTAATAATTTTCAGAGCGTTCACAGCTCTCAGTGGTGTATTAACCATGAAGCAGACTAAGTACGTGCTTAGGGCATCAGGCCCAAAGGGGGCACCACAAAACTTTTATGTAGCCTAAGCTTGTCTTCGTTTGTACAAAGGAGGGGGACACCAAGATTTGTCAGTGCTTAGGGAACAAGTGGGCATTAATCCACCACTGACAGCTATAACAGCCTCTGTCATGACATGCTTTTCCAGTGAGCAAGCTGCTGAGGCTAAAAAAACAAATTGCATATCAAATTATATACAAGACAAAGTTTATACACCCACACCACACTCAAACACACCTACATCCTAAACTTTATCATATAAACACATCCTAGAATAAATGATTTTGAAGCTGGAATATAGTCTTTAGTTATACCCATTGAACAAATAGAACATTTCTCGTGAACATTAAAATTTAAGGTGTGGCAACCGTTATCAATAAAATTCAAGAAATTTTTTTCATGATGTGATAGATGAACCCACTTTCTTGTTTGAATTTGCAGTGTGGGGGAAAACTTTAGTAAATTGAGACGCATTTTTGGGAAATGCTTGCATTTAATAGGTTCCACTTGTTTTCTGGCTATAATCAAGTGTGGTTCCTTCTAGTTATTTAAGGAAGGATATTGTAATTCAGCTGCATGTAATTCTTAAGAGTGAAATCTCTACACAAGTGCAGTTTACAACAACTAATATATCCAGAGGAAAATTAATATAAGCCTTGATAAACCTAACAGATTTAATATCTTTGTGACAAACAAAATACACTTAAACCAAGAATGATCTATTAGTAGTACAAAGTGCTTAGCATGCTATTGTATATAAAAAAGGGTATAAAACTCTTAAGGAAAATTCAAGAAAAGAATTGATTGCATTCTGTTTTGAGTGAAAGTGATCAGATTACACATATACAATATTTTAGTTACTTGGAGATTATATGAATTCCTTGAGAATTTAAACATGAAATAATCAGACATATAATGTATGAAACATTTTTCAAGTGCAATAGTATTTCTATTGTGCATTTTTATTAATGGTTTATCATAGCACATTTTGTGGAAAATATGATGATACTATCATTTTTAGACCTTAATGTGAGTTATCTTTGATTGGAGATCTCTTTTAAGGAATTATGACTATGGGCTAAGAACACAGTAGAATATAAAAGCCTTTTAAAAATAGAAAATAGTGCATACCTCATCAACTTGTCCAACAGCTCCAAAAATCTTTGCCATTTGCCCTATCAAATTAGGAAAAGCCTCCCCAGTTTCTTTCAGTACAGGCAGTAAATTGGCCAACAGTTCTGGTTCATAATCTGATATTTCTATTAATATGTCTAGGATGATGTCATTATAAAGAGGGTCTCTTAGATGATCAACTAGAGAAGAAATACATTCTTTGAGAACCTAAAAGAAAGGTGAAATATTAATTCCAGAGTGCTTTTTGTAAAAAAAAAATCCATCTGCTTGAAATTTTTAAATAAGTCAATTCAACTTCAATTATTTTCAACATATACTGACAGGATACTGCTAGAAGTTATACATTATTTGATTTAGCATTTCTTACTAAGGAAATTCTTTAAAAACTTCTACAGTATTTACAAGATTCTCTGCTTAGACCAGTGGTGGAATTCAATTTTTTTTACTACCAGTTCTGTGGGCATGGTTTGTTGGGCATAGCTGGGAAAGGGTACTGTAAAGTCTCCAGTCAGAAGTGGTATTTCCCGGTTCTCCAAACCACTCAAAATTTCCACTACCGGTTCTTTTGAACTGGTCAGAACCTGATGAATACCACCTCTGGCTTAGACTAATATGTTTTATTTATCTTTTTAAAAATTTCAGTTAAAGTCTCTGATGATAGATTATTGTGAAAAGGCAACAGAAATTCCCATTAGCCTCCCTATACAGCAGGGGTGTCAAACTAGCGGCCCGTGGGCCAGATGTGTCCAGATGCCTGTCCCAGCTCCATGACGGGGAAAATGTTGAAATACATCACGGGATGGCAACATGATGCTGCGAGTTTGACACCCGTGATATACAGGTAGTAGTCCTTGACTTAAAACAGTTAGTGACCATTTGATGTTACAACAGCACTGAAAAAAGTCACTTATGACAGTTCACACTTAACAACTGTTGCAGCATCCCCATAGTCACATGATCAAAATTCAGGCCCTAGGCAATTGACTCATATTTAGGACCATGGCAATGTCCTGGGGTCATGTGCAGAAGTGGTATTCAGCAGGTTCTGACCAGTTCTGGAGAACTGGTAGCGGAAATTTTGAGTAGTTCAGAGAACCGGCAAATACCACCCCTGACTGGCCCCATCCCCATCTATTCTCTGCCTCCTGAGTCCCAGCTGATGGGGTGAGTCTTCTTTTGTTGCCCTGCACAGGAGAATGGATCTGGAAAGCAGGTTAGTGGGGTAGGGAGGGAATGGGATTTTGCAGTATCCTTCCCCCAGGAGTGGGGAGGGAATTGAGATTTTACAGTAACTTTCCCCTGCCACGCCCACCAAGCCACGCCCACCAAACTACCCCACAGCCACCAGCCACGCCCACAGAACTGGAAGTAAAAAATATTTGAATCCCACCACTGGTCATGTGATCACCTTTTGTGAACTGCTGGCAAGCAAAGTCAATTTGGAAACCAGATTTAACAATCATGTTATTAACTTAAGAACTTTAGAGAGTACTTAACAACTGTGGCAAGAAAAGTTGTAAAAGGGGGCAAAATTCACTTAACAAACTTAACAACATAAATTTTGGGCTCAATTATGGTAGTAAGTTGAGGACTACCTGTATTGTACTGGAAAGTTACATATTTACAGCAGTTAGGATTTAGGTCATTGTCAGTCTGATAAATTGTAATCACATCCCTGTAAATTAATTGAAATCAATCAAATCTAGGCGCATTGTTGCAATACAGGAAAAAGGTGGTAATGGAGTCATGGGTATGATTTATGGAACTATGCTGAAAATCTATTGTGTGAATTCCCCATGTACTAGTTTTGCAATACCATGACTAAAAACTGAAATTATAATCTGCATGAGTCTGCAAAAATTTATCTGAACATGGTAGGAAACCAAGTTAATGAACATGCTTTACAAAAATCTAAATGTACAGGGTTAAATTTTCCACAAGACACAAATAATTTAAAAAGAAAATATTGAATATCACAATAATAGTTTTGCTTGTAATTAGGACCAATTCCATATGCATCACTAGACAGTGACATTTATTTATTCCATGTATAGTGTGATATGCCTAAAACAAGAAATCCATACGCACCACCCAGAATGAAAAATAAGATATTTAAGACAGAATTACGTTCATTTATACAAAACAGAAAAAGTAGACACTTTAACCCATTATCTGACTCTGAAGCTTATTTTATCTTAATTTATAGTATATTATCTACCTAAACAAGTATGGAAGATTTCAATTTATATTTTTCCCTTACAAGAAAGTCTAAATGCTCTTTTTTTCCTTTATGGCCCAGTTTATAGATCATAAGGAATACAAATAAGTGTATCTGCATAAACTAAATTTATAGCAAGGCATTCTTTGGAAATGCTGCTCTTGCTCTGCGCTTATGATGTATTCTAAGACAATTTTTTAAAAAATCCTGTCTATTTTGAGACACTTGACAGTAGCATGCAAAATATTTATTCCAGCTGAGTTTCTGACATTAAAAAGTGAAGCCTGCTTTGAGTCTCCATTACTTCCTGTACACATCCATGTAATTGTCTTAATTATAATTAGAACTGTTTTTTTGGTGATTTGTTCTGAGCGATTTTTCAACTTCCCAATCTGGTCTGGAAATTTCCTGTTCAAAAAGTAGCCAACCCAACCTTGCTTAGCTGCTGGTTGGCCAGATATATAGGACATTTTTTCCTATAGACTGCATTCTTTCTTGTGAGCCAGTGGCATTTGAACATCATATTCAATGGGCCTCTAGCTTGACCTGCATAATTTGTCCTATACTGATTCTCACTAATAGAAGGAAGGAAGGACTGCTGGCCTTATTTCTTTTAATGGCTTTCCTACCATAAACTAGAAATCAGATAGGTTTCCTAGAACAAACTGGTATTCAGGAGATTAAACTACTTCTGTTCATAACTTCATCAATAAACAAATAACATTTTGGCTAGACTAAATCTATATATATCACACTTTGAATCCAGATTTTTGCCCTCTTAAGTCATTGAAAGCAGTATATATTGATATTATTTATTAATTACATTTTTATGCTGCTTATCTCCCCTGTAAAGCGACTCTGAGCTGTTTACAGATTGTATTATTTGATTTCATGCTGTTAGCTGCTCTGTAATATAAGTTTCTGCTGAAAGGCAATAAGTTATATTGAGTCTGATCAATTAGGTTTGTGGATGACCAGATCTGACCCTTTCTCTCTTTTAAGGTCTTGAAATGCCAGGTCACAATTTGCAAAGGAAGTCTCAAAGACCCCCCAGTATCTTTAACAGAAGAATGGGTTATGCTGAAAGTTAAAGTATATGGCCTATACTTTAAACAAAGGCTAAAATGGGTTCTGTCAGAGTGGAATTATGGAAGAAATTATAGCCCCTCCATTGCTATATATTTTGTAAAAGTTCCTTCAACTGTAACATATAAATTCCTAGAGCTCTTTTTTATTGTTTTCAAACACTACTGAAATGTATATATCCTATAATCTGGTACTATTGTATTTTATAAGGTCTAATGTGAGGTAGCACAAACATTCTGCCTACACAACAGAACTGGCTGTACATGAAATGTTTGTTATTATGTTATTCTTTTCTGCTTTTTTCTAAAATTACTTAATCATAAAACATCTTTATCTTTGTAAAGATACATATTGGGGGTTGTGGACAATGATGTCAGATCATTAGCCCAAGACTTATCTGAACCAGTCTAACTTTGAGAACCAAATAAATACCCCATTACAGGACATGATTCAACATAAGGGATGTGCTAATGTTGGAAGAACAATGTGCTCTTGTGATGCTTGTGAGATTACTTGCATTATTAGACTTGGAAATTCAGGGGTTAGAATAATCCTTATTTTGCAAGCTTTGGAGCCCTTCCCTGCTTACAGGCCAGGGAAATTCAGTGGCAAAGTGTCAATTATCATTGCAGCAATTTGCACTTATTTATGCAAGAGTTATAATAGGTTTATTAAGCCAAATGTATTGGGAAACCTCTTATCTTTGTGCAGTGAATATTATTTGAGGACAGGGTCATTCCCTTTTAACACTTCATTGTATACAATATTTTGAATGGAGAAACTATTTTTTATATTTGTCAGAAAACTTGTATTAGTTTTGACTCAATAGCGTTAAGCTCATAGACCATATTCCTTTGAAATATTCTTAATTTTTAATATTAAAAAAAATATTTTGCTTTCTGATTGGAAGGCGTCTGGTTTTCTAATCCTGCAGGGCTATCAGTAGGCGGTGTTTTCATCACTTGATTATTCTCAGATGAATGAAACATTTTGCGCTTGAGATGACATTCGTTTTTCTTACTCAATACACTCTTACTATATGAATGTGGAGAGGACAGTCAAAACTGTACTTCCTATGTCCAATCCCTAATCCAATAAAAAAATGGAAATTCGTGAATGTACAAATGTACAAGCATTAGTCCTTTTTTCCACACCAGTTTCAAAAAAGCTAAGAGAGTTCAATATAGCATACATTAATGGAAAAATGTTGATTGAAACAAAGGATAGGCCTTGATCTCCCATAAATTTATAGCATGTCATTGTGGTTAGGAATGATTCAACTTTTACTGGACATGGCATAATAAGTATTTTGCTGATGAACAATGAGTCAGAGTGTGTGATCGGATGCACCATAATCTTTTATGTATTATTATATTATTATTAGTTGCAAAATTGAAATTTTGCATTTAGGGTGTCTAATCTAAAACAAACTACATGAAAACCAGGCAGGATTATATCTGATTAGTACCTGGATGTGGAACCACCCCCAAAAATCTAAGATCTAAATATTAGATTGGGAAATGAAAGTTTTTTTTGTTGAAATCATTAAAACAAGAAATTCGCTGGCTTCTATAGGTGGCTTTTAGAGTTTGCAATACTGGAAATTGAAGCTTTGTCTTTCCCCATTTTGGCCCATTCCCAAAAATACCAATGTTAAATTAAGACACCTGAATAGAGATTAATAAGTGCAGCAATGAATAAATTCACTAAATAATAAATGCATAGTGAATTATTCAGTAAGCTAAAGTGAAAGCCAAAGAGAGGATACTCTATACTCCTGAGCACGGCTTAGGAATTCTGGGAGTTGAAGTCCACAGGTCATAAAGGGGGAATAGTTTCCCACCCCTGCTCTACATCAAGACAGATTCAGCCAACTGATTCAGCCTGTGCTGAACTTTCCTCTTTGGGGAGCTGATGTCTAACTGGTTTTCAAACTCAGCAAATCTTAATGCAAAGTTCATTATTCTTGAAGACTTATAGCTAGGAATTTTGGATCCTGGCCTAGTGAGAAGTTTAATTGTTCTGGGATGTATCAAAATTACAGGCTCCTTTGACTTAGAGTACTGCATCCAGTTTTGTTCACCACATTATAAAAAAGATGTTGAGACTCTAGAAAAAGTACAGATGATTAGGGGACTGGAAGCTAAAATATACAATGAAGTGTTGCAGGAACTGAGCTTGGCTAGTCTAGTAAAGAGAAGGACGAGGGGAGACATGATAGCGGTCTTCCAATATTTGAGGGGCTGCCACAGGGAGGAAGGGGTCAAGCTATTTTCTAAAGCACCTGTAGGCCAGACAAGGAATAACGGATGGAAACTGAACAAGAAGAGATTTAACCTGGAAATAAGGAGAAACTTTCTGACAGTGAGAACAATCAACCAATGGACAGCTCGCTTTCAGAAATTGTGGGAGCACCATCAGTTGAGACTCAAGAAGAGATTGGACTGCCATTTGTCAGAAATGGTGTAGGGTCTCCCCCTTGGGTGGGGGGCTGGACTAGATGACCTACAAGGTCCCTTCCAACTCTGATTATCTGTTAGAGTATCTGTTAGACTTAAGAGCCACATGTTTTGAGTTGACCAAATATGAAATGAACAAAAAATTACCTTGGGCTGTTTTTTCTTTGCAACGGTTAGCAAAAGTTGTAGAAGATGTTGCTGTTCAGATGGTTCCAGATGAGGCATCAGTCCTACCAATTCTCTCAGGTGGTTGCTTAAAGGTTCTTGTTGCTTTTCATACAAAGAAGGCAATACACGGAGCAACGTGGAATTCCCTGTGAAGAATATGGGAACAAAGAGCTTATTCTATTTTCTCTGTCAACAAGGCTTTAATTTTGAATGGTCTCAAGCTGAAAAGATAAAGCAAAACAGAATCAAGATTTTATTACCCATGGTTTCTGGGAATGATGTCTGTGGGAACTGAATGTTTGCACCAAAACATATGGCAGAACAAGAGAAAAACAGAAATCAAATATTATTTAATATGGAATGTGACTAAGTAAGGCAATATGGCTTTGTATATAAACCAAAATTCTTTTTTAAATGTTATTTAAATTGAGTATTAAGCAATATGGTTATACTAACTGTTAAATAACTATTTTAAAAACCCATTATAACTTACCTATTTTCTATCCCACCTCAGTTGCAATTTAAGTAGTCTATGTTACACTTAAGCAAGCTATGCTAAAGAGAAATCTGGAAGCAATATTTTATAACTATGCATTTAACACAAAGATACACTGATAACAACGTAGGATACAATTGCTCAGATGCTGATAAAGTATGGGGGTGGGAGGTGGAGAGAATAAACAAGGCAAAATAGTTTTACAATTTTGGAAGAATGTTTGATAAAGTGTATTCACAAGCTGAATTGAAGCCAAATTCACAGAGAAATCTGTAACATGAAACATCATACAAGCCAGCTCTGGAATGACTGAAGTTCCATGCTGACAACATATGGAAAACATCTGCCTATCATGATATTACATGGTTTCATTCTCTAAATCTTCAAAACATACTGAAACTCTCTGTGGGCTTACTGCAGAAATACGACTTCAGCAATAGAGTGGTCAATGTCTGGAATACTCTACCCGACTCTGTAGTCTCTTCCCCAAACCCCAAAAACTTTAACCTTAGACTGTCTACTATTGACCTCACCCCTTTCCTAAGAGGTCTGTAGGGGGCATGCATAAGGGCACCATCGTGCCTACCGTCCCTGTCCTATTGTTTCTCTTATTCTTTTATTTTTCTTATATGTACCCATTTCATGTATTCACAACTATGTATACACTTATACTTATTATCTTGTAAACAATTGGCAAATCAAATAAATAAATAAATAAAATGTTGGACTTCTGTACTTTCTATTATTTTAAACCAGGTATTCAACGACTATAGGATAGTAAAACTTCAGTCTTTTAAATAGAAACATCAGTTGTTACTGCACTTTCCCTCCTAAATTCCTGGAATGCCTCCTTCATCACCCCCATACACACACACACACACGCACACACACACACGCGCACACACACACACACACACATTTACACCCACAAATATATATTTATACATACATACTATATCAGCATCTTGCAATAAATTTAATTAATTCTAATGACATCACTTTCTAATTAGCACTCCTGTCTGAGAATCATGCAGAAACAACAGTTTCTCATCAAACAGATATGAACTAACAATACTTATTCACCATGTCTTTGACATAAAATACTTGTTACTTTAATCTTAGTCTTAAAAATGACCAAGTGGAATTCAAATCTGTCAGTAGATTCACTCACAGTTTTCCATTTATTTATTGTTGGGATCCCAAAATCTATTTCAAACGAGAGATTTGTCCCTCACTGTCTTATCTTTATCTTAAGCTGCTTTTGCAATTATAAGCTGTAAAATAAGTTTGAAGGAGGTCACCAACATTCAGAAGCATAATATTTCCTTCTTCTGGTATGAAAAGAGTCCTACTGGAAAAGGAGAATAGATTCTGTGCTCTTCCATAAGGATATATCATTCAGTAATGTTTCTTTTTAAGTTTATGTTGGTTCACAAATACTGACAGTACACATTGATCAAACTATGTCAGTTAAATATGACATAAGGACAGCAGAATGATATGCAAGAATTAATATGTCTCTGAATACTGATTGCTGGCAGAGTTGTAGAATGAATAATGGATAAGGGCATTATTTTCATGGCTTCATGATTTTCTTGGAACTATAGGGCCAGATCCCAGTGGAAAACAGAAGTTGGATTAAATGGGTCTTTGGTCTGATTCAGCAGGCTTTCCTTTATGATTATCATTCCTTATGATTGGTATTGAGATGCCTGTAACTTACATTATATTGCCATTATTTCAACACACTGTAATATTTTCTGTTTTGCATCACTTTAAAAATATTTACATATTTATTTGTAGATGCTTCAGATGGCCTTCTGATGCAAAAGAGCCTGCTCAAGACTATATATAAAATATCAATAGTAATAATATATTCAGTGCAACGAATACATAACTAATAAAAGCCAGAAATAGCAAAAGTAAAACTAAATCCAAGCATTAAAGTAAACCATACAAACTAAAACAATTTTCTTTAAACAATTCTATAAAAATATACATTCTAAACCCACATCCTTTTCTTCCACATGCTTCTCTGCAATGACCTGGCATGATATCATCTAAGTATTTAGTCTAAGAATGTCTTGAGTCAGCAGAAGATGAGGTTGGATTGCTTCATATGCCTAATCAGGTATTTTCTGAATTAGAACAAGTCAGCTACACTGACCTTAGGCCAGATACAGAATTCTACTGATGAAGTTAAGATGAAGCTTCCAGACACATGGCAGAATTAAACACGCCTGTAGGTTAAGCTCTGAATAGAAGAATTTGGCTGCCAGGCCTTTAATAGATACATTCCTGCTGTAAATCTCCAGATAAGAAATCTTTTAAGTCAGACTAGAAAGGAACATACCAGAGATTAAGCTTTGACATTAAGCTTTGACATTAGCCTCCAGATTGCTTTTAAATTAATGATGCTTTTCATTCCTACTTCTAATAGAAAAGCAAAACCTGGAGTATCCAATCTTACAATGTCTACAGCATGTAAGCAGATGTCCATTCCTAAAACAAGAGATGCCTTTTTGTATGAAACTTCGGAAACAATTGGGTCCTTATGAATTAAAAGGTATGAAGTAAAAGTTGGCTAATGAATTATTCCAGAGGGAAATTTTTGGTGAAATGAGTTATGAATGAGGCACCCTCAGTCTGCTGGTTGAAGCTGGGTAGTTTCTATTGATGTTAGCATATAAAAGGTACTTTCATAAAACCAAATTTTGCCATCCTGTTTATCCAGCACACCAACAGCATTGGTTTCAAATTCACACGTTGTATATTTTGGCACAATGATAATCAATTACTGGCTGGCAGGTCAACTTAGATATATTTTTGTAAAGTTGTCACATGTACAGTATTATTGATTTGTGAAAACATAAGACTAAAACTGGAAGGAACTTTATTTTGTAACATAAAATATGGGCTAAACCTTCTCAGGGAAGTGTTTAAACTTTTGAAATCATATTTTATCCTTTGGAATATGGTCAACTACTAGTCATGCGCTGTGTGATGCTAGCTTAAGAATACAAATGAGCAGCATTTTGAATGATGAATCAAAACCAAAGCAGACATTGCTTTAATCATGCCAATGCGTTTAACATGTGCAAATTCTCTTAGGTAACTAGCAGACATGGGCAGTCCTGAGTTAACTGGGAATAATTGGGGTAAGGAAAGGCAATTAATGTTAAGTAATTTTCCTCTCATCTACCCTAACAAAATTTGCTCCTCTGAAGCAACTATCTTCATTTCTACTCTTTAATCCAGGATTTATATAGATAAACGTGTGGCAGAACATACTATGAGTTCAAAGGAGTTGTGAGCTCAACCCATCTTTGGAATGCTGAGTTGAATGCGCTCAAGTTTTTTCATTCACATATCTTTCATCCACATGTCAAAAATAAGTCAGGAAAAGTGTTTCTGTAAATATGCATAGTAATCAAATGACATTATTTCACAGAGCACTGGCTATATGTACCAGTAAGAAAGATGTTATATAATGACATACCAGCATTCTCAATTGTGAACCACCCAGAGTTGTTTGCTGAAATGGGTGGCTATAGAAATTGAAGGAAGGAAGGAAGGAAGGAAGGAAGGAAGGAAGGAAGGAAGGAAGGAAGGAAGGAAGGAATTCCCACTGGACCATTCTGTTACCAAAATAAGGTCATTTGAGTCTTGCTTTTATTAAAACCCTATTTATTTATCAAATTCATATAGCTGCCCATTTTCCAGGGGGCTGTAGGCTAAAACATATGAACAATGGTTGTAGAAATTGGTTATGTCTAGTCTAGTTAAAAAAAAGGACTAGGGGCAAAATGATAGCCGTGTTCCAATATTTCAGGGGCTGCCACAAAGACGAGGTCAACCTATTTTCCAAAGCACCAGAAGTCAAGATAAGAGGCAATGTTTGGAAATTAACCATGGAGAGAACCAATCTAGAATTAAGGAGAAATTTCCTGACAGTGAGAACAATAAACCAGGGAACAACTTACTTTCAGTTGTGAGTGCTCCATCACTAGAGGCTTTTAAAAAGAGACTGGACAGCCACTTGTCTGGAATTGTATATGGTATCCTGTTTGAGCAAGGGGTTGGTCTAGAAAATCTCCAAGGTCCCTTCCAACTAATTCTGTTCTGTTCATGTCACCACTTGGGGGAAGATTGGGGGGAGATTAATAGCCCCACAATAGGAAGGGGTATTAGTGTACCCATCATTGACTTTGACGCATTAACTCAATCACAGTCTAAGCATTTGTGATGGGCCAAAACTGTAACTCCCTTGGCTACTTGTTAAAAAGCAGTAACAGGATTATTTTATGGTAGGTACTCCTTTCCACACATACAGTATTTAATGTGGTTTACATGATTCTTCCCTTTATTTCACTGGGTGTTGTTTACAGCCACAGTTGGCACAGTGTTACCTACTTTGTTTTATCAAATATTGATTGGGCAAGAAAGAAGGATGAAACACGGAATCGCAGTTTTGAAAGGCAACACAAAACATTTATCATATTCAGCTCTGAAGTCAGAAATGTAGATAGTAAAAGAAGAGGTAGTTAATTCCAGTTGATTATGTGATCCCATATTTCACATAATATTCTGATTCTTACATAATTTACAGAAAAAAATTCTTTTAAAACAGGGGTCACCAAACCCAGGTCTGTGGACCGATACCAGTCTGCAGCCCATTGGAAACCGGGCCATCCAAGCGGCAGGTGAGCATGTGAAGCTCCATTTGCGCATGTGAAACCATCCCCTCCCCTCACTGCCACTGCCATCACTGATGGTCGAGGACTACTGTTTAAAATGTACATTAAATAACATTAGATAAGTGTAAGTAAGCATAAGCAGAACAAACCATGGCATGCAGTTCTTTAGTGATGTCATGTTTATCCTTAAATATTTTTAATGGAGCAAACATTAGCTTGTTATATATTTAGAAATTCTGTTGGTTAAACTCCACTTTGACCAGGCGTAGTACCAATAAATACAAGTTTGGGAACTAATTATATCCAGGATATGAATTAAAAATTATTACTCAAACAACAGGGCATCTTCATTTGCATAGGGTACTTTCTAGAGTTATTCCAGGTCAATGTCTAACAAAACACTGTTCTGGGAGAATGGGAGATTGATCCAGTCAACTTTTGTAAGTGGTGTGTGTGTATGTGTGTGTGTGTGTATATGCTACTTACCAGTGGTGGGGTTCAATGTTTTTAAACTACCGGTCCTGTGGGCGTGGCAGGGGAAGGATACTGTAAAATCTCCAGTCAGAGATGGTATTAGCTGGTTCTCTAAACTACTCAAAATTTCTGCTACCGGTTCTCCAGAACTGGTCAGAACCTGCTGAATACCACTTCTGTTGCTTACCAAAGTTAAAAATGTAACATATTTTTCCTGTTCAAGGGATTAATTGCTATCAGATAATTTCTACTAGAGGGAAATGAGGGTTTGCAACTTTGCAACTTTTTACATCTTCTCTGTTCATCTCAACATTGTACATGCTTTAATAATGCAAATGATATTCCCAAACCAAGTTCTGCAGCAGTATATCCAATAACAATGACTAAATTTTACAAATGAATGCAAACAATAATTGGAGTTTATGTACTTTTCAGTTATAACCATAGAATCCCTTTAATTTTTCACCTTTCTGTAAATCAGCAAATGGACATTTTATTTGTCTTATTTTTCATTAAAATTCATGACATTAAAAAAAAATCTAGCCTCCAAAGAGCCCTGCAATTTGCAAGAACAGACTTTCCATCATTTCTCCCTTTTCACTTCTCACTAATCCACTCCCATTTCAGACTTAGCAAGGTTCAGGATTGTGCAATCTCCATACCTCCCCCTTCCTTACAGTTCCCATCCAAAAAAATTAATAATAACCAGAAGCACTCCTCTTACAGCACCAGGACTAGAATTACTCATTCATTCAAGCTCAGGCATTCCCCCAGTATTATTTAAGGGCTTTCTCTCTAGGAATCATCTCTGCTCCAGTCTTGCAAGAGATTAAGACACTGAGAATTTTAGGGAAGCAGCTGGAAATTCTATCCAAAAATGTTTCCTTTTATGATTCTGTTTTTTGCTATCTGTTATTCTTCATTTACTCAGAACACAGATGAGTACGATGATCTCTTCTTCCTGAATTTTGATAATGAAATAGAAAGTGTAATTCCTGCAACAGAAGAAAGTAAGTATTTTGCCTTTCTTTCTTAGTCTTTAACTGCAAACAAATTGTTTTTGCATTAACAGCAGAATTAATACTCTTGTTTTTGCAAAATCTGCAGTTAGCAAACTTAAAAATAGCAATATTTCAGAATGTTCATTTAGCCAAGAAAGGAGACAGAAAAATTTCTCTGTTCTTATTTCTAACTTATGATCTTGCCTTCTTTTCTAGAGAAAGAAAGTGTGTAAATAGTCTTGGAAAACATCTTTCTTTAAATAGCTTTTTTTTTTTTTTTGTGAGAATAAAGTTCAAATGTAGAGTAATGTTTACTATGTGCTCTGTTTCAGCCATTTCATGTGATTGTCAGCGAGAACACACAGAATGGGACAAGCTCTTCATTATGCTTGAGAATTCCCAGATGAAGAAAAACATGCTGCTTGAGTCTCTGGATGAAATCCTTAAGGTGGAGCTGCAGATGCTGAGAACAGAAATGCTGCAGTTTGTGGAAAACTTTGCTGGCACGTGCACCACATATCTTGAGAAAACAACCACTCAGATCTGGAGCCAAATGGACCAGATGATAACAAAGAGCAGAGCTTCTGGGATGCTTCATGAGATCAAGCAAGAAAAGATTCTCCAAGAGATTCTGCAATTAAACCAAAATCTTTCCAACCGACTCAGCCAGCTCGAGCGTGCCTGGCAGTGGAGAGCTGAAGAGAGTGATCAGCGGAGCCATTCATCAGAGGAAGGTAGAGTCAGCTACATAACGCATGGAAGCAATTTCATGTTGAAGTCACTGTGGCAAGAGCTGCAGGAAACAAAAGCTGAACTAAAAAAATCTCAGAAGAAGACCATGAAGCCTTCATTGCCAGCTGGTGAGTCAGATTCTTTTTCCAATGTTATCATTGTCTTACTCTTACACATTAATTCCCAACCAACCACATTAACCATAAGTTTGTTTAACAATCTTACCTGATGATTTGCTTATAGGGAAGGGGGCATTATTATTATAAATTTGGAGACAACTAGGTGGAATCCTGTCCAATTTGTATTGTGTAGCACCCAAACAATATAAATTCACAGTATACTATGGAAGTCACTATGAGTATTCATTGCTTCAGCTGTGTTGCTGTAGCTTAAAATATGTTCATTGAATAATTACACTTGGCCAATAGAAGCTCTGAAAACATGTAGATAACTCATTAGTAAAGCAATGATGAAGTTTTGCTAAGTCATTTGCAGTTATTCTCTTCCATTCTTATTTTTATTTTGCAAAGCCAGACACAACGATAATTCATTGACATTCCCAATCAATTCAGTTTTCTGGCTGTTTCTATGCTCTGTCTTCTAACATACCTGCTGATTCTTTCACTGCATTCCTTAGGGGCTACTTCTGAACACAATTTGACCTTGTGAGCTCACTCATTATGTCAACAGACTATTCATCAATTTAATTCTCACGCTTCAGGGCATAAACAGATCCTCCACAGGGGTTCAGGAAAGTGGAATAGCTTAGACTCTGTGAAGCACAACTGCACAGCCATATATCACAAAGATTCCCCTGAACCATTCCAGTTGCCTTTTAATACCCAATCTGAACATTCCATGATTTATGCTAAGATAAATAATGAAACTATTTATGTTAGATAACTTTGAAACATAGTCTCCTGCCCCATTTAAAGTCTAACTTGTTATTTTTAAGGCAGCTGTGTTCTTCATACCTAGATGTTCGTTGAGGCTGATTTTAAATAACTATTGGTATAATATAGAAAGTATGACATAAGTCTCATGAAATTAACCACACAAAAGAAGAGTTTGCCACACTTACAAGAGGTTCTTGCTATTCTGTGATGTTCCATAGACTGATTAGTGATCTCTAAAGCAACAGCTGCCTATGTTTTTGAATCACTACTTTTATTTTATAAAAATGCAGTGGTGTTGAGCAATAAGCAGATGGTTAAATAACTCATGTTATGTATGAGTTGTCTGTTCATTAGTCCAAAACATTTGTAAGAATTACAGTCACTATCTAGAGGCCCTTTCAAATGTATGTGAAAGGACAAAAGTCTTATTTAGGCAAGTATCCTAATTTTTGGTAGTAATTTCAATTAATTTACAACCATTCCAGAAAAATGTTACTTTAATTTGGACAAGATAAGAATATATACGTTGGGGGAAAGCATAACACAGATGATGCTCTAGTGCTCAGATTGATTAATTTTCCAAAAGTAAAGTCACATAAAAAAGCTGTGCTTTAAAATACTATCACTATTTTACTGTTTTCTAAAAAGCCCATCTCTGTCTCTAAGGAGTTATAGAAATTCCTGAGGGATCCCGAGTGATTTTAATGTGGAGGATAGGGAATTACTAACAATATACTTCTTGATCAGCCATTTGTTTTGCTAAGATATCTGGAATTAATACATCAAATAATCTTAATAACTATATATTAAATAATGTGTAATAACTATGGATTATAATTATGTATTAAAATTAATCAAGGAGAAAACAAATCCAGAACTAAGAAGAAATTTCCTGACAAATGAGAGCAATTAATCAATGAAGTTGTGGGTACTCCAACACTGGAGGTTTTTAAGACCATGTTGGACAACAATTTGTCTGAAATGGTAGTCTCCTGCTTGAGCAGGGGGTTGGACTAAACGACCTCCAAGTTGTGCAAAGATTTTACTAAAGTACATTTTTAGCACTGTTTACTCTTGGGTGCTTCCTACAAAGTTTTGTGTTATGCTCTCAACATTTCAAAATGGTATTAACAGGAAGTCCAGAGAATATCATCTTTGAATGTCTATTTCCCCCATCCTATTTTTTTTATATTTGCTTTTACCAGAAAAGTCCACCAGAGAGGTAAGACTGGAATAGTTGAACAATTTCTTTTGTTTGATAATGCTAGCAGCCATCGGGCTAAAAGTTATCTTGTTTTCTATGAGAAAGTCATGCCATAAGTAACCATCTGTTCTTCCCTTCCCTTTACAACATTTCATAATAAAAAATTGTGTGGTGTGCTTTGTCATATTGTTGTAAGCTTCCCAACCCCACTTCACTTTGGCTACTGCCTGAGAGAGGGAATCTCACAATGGAATGATGTCACACATGTTTCCGATTACTAGTTGTTACAGAAGACAGGGAGGAGCATGACAAAAAGATTGCTTTTTTCTAAAATTTGGAGGAAAATCCATGGCGCAATTGAACTAAACTATGAAGTGCTAAGCCCAACATAACTCCACCAAATTTGCAGGACCTGTTCTTAATTTACCATGTTCTGGCCAATGATATCACTCAGTTCTATTTGTTTTGACAAGGGGGAGGACATTCACAATTTGATTAAGAACAAAAAGACTGACTTTATAAAAATATTCCACAGATCCCTCTGGAATTTTTTTTTTTCCGAAAGACTTTTCAGCAACTGGCTTTGATTTCTCACATAGTTTGGATTTCTGCCAGGTTGATTCTTAAGGGTTTTTGTGATCACACTATTGTTGGTGACTTATAAAGCTGGTTTTCATTTTGTCTACCCTTGATAATAAAGTTAGAAATTTTGATAATTAAAAAGCCATGTCACTACACAGAGCTCTTTGCCCTTTGAAAGAAGCATTCCTGCAGATTTTCATGACCTGTTGCCCTTATTCTCAGTGGTCAAAGCATTTTAACATTCTTAGAACTCAAAGCATATGACACCAGCACAGCATGAGAAAATAGAAAAAGTATACTAATTATTACAGCTGTGATTTCAATATTTGTTTTACTTCAAAGAATCTAAAATGTGATGTTTGTTAATTATTCATCATACTATATCTCAATTTCCTGTAATTGCTCTCTCATACATTTATTAAAATATTTGAAATTGTCAACTGAGTTCAAGTCCCTCCATAACCACGAAAACCAGCTGGATGACATTGGGCCAGTCCCCCTATCGCAGCCCAACCCACCTCACAGGATTGTTGTGGGGAAAATAGGAGGAGGAAGGTGTGTTGGATATATTTTCTGCCTTGAGTTATTTGTAAAAACAATAAAGGTGGAAAATAAGTAAGTAAGCATAGATAATATAACTATAACTCAATAAAACATCTGTTTCTTATCGCTTCAAATGGTTTATCCTATAGGTCTTTACTTATTATTTTTGTATAGTCTTTTTGAACAAAAAGACAAAAAGGTAGATTACAACATGGAAAATTCATTCTGAGTTTTTAATCCATGAAAACATGTAACCTCTCACTTTAGGGTAGCATAAGATAATAAGTTTTTTAAAGGAGAAAATGCTATAAAGTATTTATTTTCTGATGGTTAAAATAACTAACAATTTAGTGTAACACTCTGATAAACTTCAATACACATTTATAAACATACTCTATAAATTATTCTACTGATAAAGTTATCCTTCCTCATTTCAACATGCTGAATTTAAACAGATATAGAGGTGCATGTAGCCTACAGAAGATAATTAGATCACTTTCATTTGTGATTATAGATGCATTTAACTAATACTTAATTTGTTGTAATAATCATAAACTGGATTTTATAAATTTAAAAATATAAATGTAGAAACTGTTTTCCTTGATGTAATAAAAAAGTGTAAGAAATCCAATGGGTGAAAAGCTAATAGAAAAAATATATAATCCTTATTATGATAGTATATAATCACAAAACAAATATATAAGTTTGGGGAGACTGTTTGCCAAATAGAAAGTCTAACAATGTTTATGTGATTTTTGAATTGGCCAAATGTTTACATATATTTGCATATCAAATATATTGGGTAAATATATTTGGGTAAAAATGTTTCTGAGTGAAAATGAGAGACAAAAGGTTTCTCCACCACACCATACCACACCACGTGGCAGGGAAATGGATCTCTAAAGAAATTATGAAAAGTAAATGAGGAAAACCTACTGGAATCACCTGGAAATATGCTGAAAGAGATATCAGCAAGAGATTAGTTACATGTAAAAAAAAGTACATTATTTGAAATTATTTTCCAATTATTGCATCACAATATAAATTCTTGATGAACAAGAATTATCTAATTCAGTATAAGATGGTCTTAGTTTCTTAGTGTATTTGCTCCCTTCCCTTTTCAAAGTTGTGGCATATGTGGGCATTTTTTTGGGGGGGGGGGTGTCCCTTTGAATCAGTGTTGACTCATGGCAACTGCATAGACTAATCCCTGCAGTTTACTTGGCAAAATTCCAAAAGTGGTTTGCCATTGCCTTCTTCCTAGGGCTGAGAAAAAGTGACTTGCCTAACTAAGATCATCCAACTTTATGCCCAAGGCAGAACTAGAACTCACAGTTGTCTTAACCACTATACCAAACAGTCTGTCTTAAAAGATATTACAAAAAGTGAAAGAATATATTTGTTTAAAATCCAAAAGAGCCATTGCTACTCATAATACAGTTGCCTAATTAATTAACATAATGTAACTGATACTTAGAATTATATTACATTACGATTATTCCAGATATCCATGAGCCTTCAGTATAATTGATAAAAATTTCATTTTGTTATTCTTACAGGTTGTGAAACAGTTATTTTATTCCCAATGCGTTCTAAAAAGATCTTCGTGAGTGTTCATCCAACTGGTGAGATGGCACTCTTCTCCTTCACTGTCTGCATATGGGTTAAGGTAACTGAAGCATTGGACAAAACTATTGTATTCTCATATGGAACAAAGAACAATCCCTATGAAATTCAGCTTTATCTGAACTATGACTCTGTGGTTCTTGCTGTAAAAAGTAATTTCAACAAGATATTTGCCCCAAAGGTAATTTCTTCCGGAGAGTGGACTCACATCTGCAGTACTTGGGGTTCAGTCAATGGAACCATATCTTTATGGATAAATGGAAAGGTTGTGGTCACCTCTTCTGAAATATCTGAAGACCACATCATCCCAGATGGTGGAATTTTGCAGATTGGCCAGGAAAAGAATGGCTGCTGTGTTGGAGGTGGTTTCAATGAATCTTTAGCTTTTTCTGGAAAAATAACTGGCTTTAATATTTGGGACCGAATCCTCAGTGACAAAGAGATAATAAGACAATCTGAAGAAGATGCCTGTAATAATCGTGGCAACATTGTGGGCTGGGGAGTTACAGAGATTCTGCCTCATGGAGGGGCTCAGTATATTTTTAGTCCCTGAATGTATGTTCTTCAAAACTCTATATAAAATCAAACCAATAAACAGAACTTATAAAATCTGAATATATATACACATATATTTAGAATTGATCCATGATACAGTTTCCAAAGGAAAAACAGAGGTATAAAGAACACTCAGAAGCCAGTTATCTCTGCTTCACACAAGAAACTCTGAATGAGGCTTCATATGGCAAGAAACCTTTGGATGACTGCCATGGCTACTACCATAAGCCAATATCTCTGCTCTCCAGATTCCATAAAAAAGAACAGTGCTGCCATAAGTGGGAGATAGCTCTCCACAAATGGGTATAGCTGCTTTCAGAACAAGTATATGCTAAGCCAGTAAGATGAATTTTATCCACATGAAATCTCATTCGTAGAGAAATCATGTATGTAGGGCATAAATTAAAATTGCTACCATATGAAAGCTAAAATATAGGCTCTTAAACATATCTTGTTAAGAGTCAGCATGTAAACATGCTGGTCTAGACTGCTATATAGATCCAACATTTTCTAAGTACATATCTTAATCATACCCCAAAACTATTTTTGAACATACTCTGAATTACATGATTAGCACCTGTCATAGTGAGAAGGTTCAATAGCTATAATGACTTTGAAAATGTTGCTAACGGGAAGTTCTAGTTGGATTATCCTTGTTGATCAAATCTAAGGAGAGATGTGGAGCTATAAGTAATCCATAATGGAGTCGAAGGGAGTGGGGTTCTGCAGATCTAAGGAAAGTTAGAAAATGTCAAAATGAAATCTAGAAGAAAGCAGTAATAAATCATTTCTGGATTGTTGCCAAGAAAATTATAGGAATATGGCTCAAATTGTTTAGGCAATTTTGGTTGCTAGACAATAAGATTAGAGGGGGAAACCTAACTATTGGAAAGAAAGGTGAATTTTCATTAGTAAATCTATAGATGAGGATATGGCGAAACCAACGTGACAAAGAAGTCTGGTCATTGTTGAAGTCAGAACTGAAAAATAAGTTTTTCTTTTACAAAGACAAATAAAACAATGTAATAAGTATGGATCAAACAAAACTTGAAACTATTAAAATGCAACTGGAATTGAAGCATCTAAATTAGATATTTTCTGAATCAATGAACATTGGTAGACTGCAATAGATCACCTGAGTTCAGATGATAATGTGATATATTATTCAGAGCATAAATTCATACAAAGTGATGGAAAAATGATGACACCCCAAAAGAATATCACTAAGTTTGTACTGGCTATAACCAATAAACAATAGGTTCATGTTTATTAGAATTAGCATATATTCATTGAAAGAACATCATTGTTATACAAATGTATGCTGCTATTTGAAACATAACAGTAGATATTAAGGAAATCTATAGTAATGTGCAAGAGGTGCTAAATGTAACAGCAAAAAAGACTGCAGTATGTCTGGTGCATAGTTTGTTAAATACAATGATACAATAAATAGTTTAATATAGTTTTTGCAAAGATAATTCTTTGTTCATTGCCAATACCTGCTTCAAATAATATATGGACATCACTAGATTGACAACATCATGATAAAATTTGTTATAATATAGGAAAAAGAATTGCAATCCAATTAGTCAGATCCCTTCCAAGTGTATATTATAGAACACACTATGTCAAATTCATAGTGTCAAATCCATGGGATAAACATAAAAGTTTTTTTTAGTAAAGGTGTGCCAGCAAGATTAGAGACATATAGTCAGAATATAAAATCAAAACAGGGAACAAATCAATATGCTTAACTTTTGCAATAGAATATCTGAAGAATTATGGAACTAGATAAGAGACACTGTGAAAACTGAACTGGAACAAACTCTTCCCCAAATTTCAAGGCAGGAAAGTTTGAGTGGCTTTCAGAACAAACTACCATGATAGCTAGGGAGAGGTGAATGATGAAAGCATTGGTCAAAAAGAAGATGTACTATAGTTAAACACACTTTCAAGAAGAAAAGATAAGGAAAAATATCACAGTCAGTAGTAGAGGAAATTAACAAGGAATAAGGAAAGCCTTTTAAAAGATGATCAGAAAAATAATTGCAATATATCACAGCTGAAGTAGAGCTTTTCAAGAGAACTAACAGAAACAAATGAGATTACAGGGAAATGGAAAGATAGAAACTAATAATAGTATTACAGACTGGTAATACAGAATGGCATAAATATGAGTAGAGTATATTTCAAAATTGACTGTTCTAGAAATTAGTGAAGAGAGCCAATCAACCAGGTATCAAATGAAGAAGCAGTTGTATTAAAACTGCAGAAGAAGAGACAATTAAAGAGCTAAGAGCTCATGTCAACAATGAGCAAGAAACTACTGTAAGGATTGAGTACAATTTAAGCTTATATTAAATATTAAGACAAAGTTATTGTCCATCAACAAGTGAAGAAGTGAAGATGAAAGAAGCTGTGCTGTTTTATGGAACCCTCTTGTTTGTAGGTTTTTTTTAATGTGAATTTTGCAACTGAATTATTTAAATATTATGAAGCAATAACTTTTTTCTGCTTTTACTACTAGTATATACATCTTCATAAAGTTAGTAACTTGTCCAAGGAACTTTTAACTGGAAGCCTACCTTGCATTCAGGATGACTGCAGTTTTCTGGTTTGAAATTAATATCACTGTATGATATTGTAAAATAAACTGATTTTGTATTGACTTTATTGAAACTATTTTTTATAAAATTGAACTGTAAATAAAAAAATACTTTATCAGATTGACATTACATATCATTTTTCTTTAGGGTGTTCAGAATCCAATGCAAGCACTAAGTCAGAATGTAAGAGTGGCCTTTTGTTTCATTCCTATAAAAATCATGTCTCTAAAAGCAGAACAATCTCAAAACAAATAGATACCAGAATCAGGAACACTAAAGTTTATGAAGGAGTTATATTAGCATTTTAGCATTTGTTGTATCAAAAATTATTCTTGAAAAACAATACAATAGTCTTCCCTTAAGCATGAAAATTAGCTGTGTGTCTTTAGACCACTCTCTCTATGCCCAATCTACCACATAGGGTTCTTATTGTGGAGAAAAAAGAAGTGGAAGCACGAGGTATTTGCATTGCCTTGAGTTGAATAAAAAATAAATACCACTTTAAAAATCAATCAAAGATATAAAAAGATAAATACTTATCTTATTGCACAATTCCCGAGATCTCCAAATTGAATGTATAAAGCATTCTACTGAAATAGGTTAGCAATTATATGATACAGGCACCTCCAACACACTGGTGCCTCCACGTGTATTCAATTTCAGTTCTCATAATATCTCAACCAGCATGACTACAGATAACAGACTCTCCGCAGTAATTCTTTTTTGTTTCTTTAGGATGAAAGTTTCAAAGTGAAATGCTGTGAGAATCCTTTGGGTTGACTACGTCAGGAAAAAGATTCCCCAGAAACACTAGAATTATACTTTATTGAGGTGGGCCACACTAACAGAATCTCTCAAGTCTGAATGCACTGTATTTTACCCAGTGGTGGGATTCAATTTTTTTTACTACCGGTTCTGTGGGTGTGGCTTGGTGGGTATGGCATGGCTTGGTGGGCATGGTAGGGGAAGGATACTGTAAAATCCCCATTCCCTCCCCACCCCACTAACCTGCTTTCCAGCTCCGTTGTCCTGTGCAGGGCAATAAAAGAAGATCCAGCCGATCAGATGGGACTTGGAAGGCAGAGAATAGATGGGGGCAGGACCAGTCCGGTTCTCTGAACTACTCAAAATTTCTGCTACTGGTTCTCCAGAACTGGCCAGAGCCTGCTGAAAACCACCTCTAACTTAAGCTGCCCACCCAATGCATCAGGCAGAATTCTGCCCAAATCCCTTCTGAATATTATCTTATTTCCTTAAGGACCTAAGGAACGTTTTAGTCACCTTGGCTTTCATAACTTTTCTTGCCAATTCCCTTCAAGGTCATTTCCCTGATTCACTACAGATTCTTTTTTTTTAAAATGCTGATAAGTACAGGTAGATTTTTACCACCTATATGAGCACCATAATTTATAGTGGTACAGTTAAAGGTATAATAATTTAGTGTATAATATTAACAATTAAGTTTAAATGGATTAAAGTCAGAAAAATTAAGAAAACTCATTGGGAAGGACTCAGGTTAACTTTAGCTGTTTTACATATTTATAAGTTTTCATATGGAAAAAGATGATGATGATGATCTATCAGGTAGTAGGTTGAAATAATGTGAGATGGGCATTGTTACTAGTGAAAATTGAGTTTTACCTCCATCATCATCATTGGGGTGTAAATAAATTTTGACTGATTGTTTAAATCATGGTTTAATGAACAAGTATTCCTCACTTGTATTGCCCTTTAAATACTTCTAAGGAACATTCCAGTTATATAGAAAGTCATTATAACTGAACCACCTGATCCCATACAGATATCAAGAGCACTGATTGGCCCTCCTCCCCAAATGACATGTATTGTATATCATATAATGTTTGAAGTCACCCTCAACTTAAACAATTTTTTTTAAAAAAGGTATGGAAATTCTTATGAAGTAGGGACATATACTGTAAATCAAACACAAAATGTATTGTATAGGTATTTCTTACCTTGCAGGATACTTTTTACAATACTTTCTGTATGTTCAGCAAGCAGCTCTGCTTTGCTAATTGCAGCAAGTGAGAGATAACTGGATAAATTCCTGCACAATTCTTTGTTACCTCTCTGGAGAAATTTAACTGCCACTGGGACAGCCAATGCTATAATGGGAGGGCGATTATAATTCTATTGGGAGGGAGAACAAAAATAGAGTTACAAATTATTGCACGTACATTCACTTTGGTGTTCTTATTATCAAATCTGAAAATATTATAAGTTTTCATCAGGTGTGTAGAAACAAGCTATTTTGAATTACCCTTACTACAATGAAATATAAACATAAAGATGTACTGTGGAATGTCATATTGTTCTATCTCTTTAATGATGAAATATACATTTTATATTTACGTAGGATAGTGAGATGAGTGGCATATAAATTTAATAAATAAATAAAATAAATGGTCTATCTTTAACTGTAAGAGTGAACAAGTGGATCAAAATTTTTCATTTGACAAGGAGCCTAACAAAGGAGTTGACCACAATATACTTTAAGAAAGTAGGTTAAGGAAAGGAAGCGCTAGAAGAGAAAGATTCTTGAAGCAGCTCTCATCAGCATGTTAGAGAAGGGAATTGGGTTGTCTGTTCCATCCTCGTTCCTTAATTTCCAGATTAAAAGAAATCCTTTGAGAAGATTTTTAAACAGCCCAATGAAAGACTGTTTATTAAAAAAAACCAACTAGATTGTCAATATTAATATTGATATTGTTAATAATATAATAATATTGATAATATTGTCTGGATTCACACAATACCCAAATCATAATCATGATTAACAAGCCACATTGGCTGAGTTTGTACAACATGCTAAGATTAGACTACAAACAAAGCGAACTGTAGCCTAGCCTGATATGTGAAACCATCTTAAAGCTACTGGATTATTTTGCTCTTTCCTGGATTTTTGAGTTTCCTCTGACTTATATTTTTAGTACACTTCCAACTGGTCATGAGTTTTCTATGTTCTACTTTAATATACCAACAATAACATTATAAATATAGACAACCTAACAAAATTGGGGTAAGTTTTTGATCACATATATTTTTATCAAGTATAATTGATTTGATGGTAGTTAATATATCTTCGTCAAGAGTCTTTAGAGTAAAATGAAGACAATGGAGTCTTGTTCTACTTATTAAAGAACTACTGCTTTGAAAATCAATATCTCTTTTGGACTAGATTTTAAAATTTGTTTAAAATGCGTATTTGGCCCTGATCCTAGAGTTCTGAAGCTGAAATAAAAATAATTGAGCCTTGAAGAGTTTTATATGGCATTCCATTGATATGAACCAGGTTCTAATTATAATGACATTTCCTTTTCAATGAAAATAGATTAATATGATTTTAATATGATTAATATTAGTTTAAAATAAATAAACCTTTAGTATGACTTCTGAACTAACCAGCAGAGCCAAAAACAACAACAACCCCAATTACTAATACAAACTTTAGTAATGACAGGTTTAAAATTAGCTAAGTTCTATCCTCAATTTAGACGGACAACTATTACTATGAATATAATGCCTGAAAAAAGACTTTCTAGTTAATACAAGTTCATATTTAATAAATAAACATGCATTTTTTATTCATTTTCATGTCTTATTGTCCAAAAGAACAAATAAATTATGCTGGGTTGTAATTAAACTTACTGCTAATATGTAGTAATACGTAGTGAAATTTGGTCTTTCTTCAAATTATTTCAGTTTTGCAATCTTGAATGTATCAGTTGGTATAAAACTGTACATGACCTGGGGTATAGAATTTGCTTCCATTCTTATCATATAATAGAATTTATTTAGGGACTGTGATTGAATAATTTGACTCCAGAAACTTATCTTAATTGAAATATGGACTACCATCAAAACAGTGCCTCTCTGTTGAATATTCCACTTAAACCTTCAAAATGTGCAGTAAAATTTACTCTAAGGCTACTCGTCAAGCTATGTATTTATCTTTATGAAACATAAAGAGAACTATACAGAACCTAATGGTATGAATCATAGATAAAAATTCTTATGCATCATAGTTTGGAAGAATTGAGCATAGGGATGACATTTTCATTAATATAGTTCTGCTTGCCAATTTCTGAGTTTTCTAACACATTGCAGAACACTATTAATCTGAAATATATCGGACCACTTAAAATCGATATTATTATATTACAATGTTTCTTGCCACAGTTGTTAAATGGATCACTGCAGTTGATAAGTTAGTAACCTGGTTGTCAAATGTATCTGGCTTCCCCATTGACTTTGCAAAAGGGGATTGATCACATCACCCCAGGATGCTGCAGTGGTGATAAGTATGAACCAGTTGCCTAGCATCTGAATTTTGATCACCTGATCATGGGAATGCTGCAAAGGTTATAACTGTGAAAACAGTCATAAGTCACTTTTTTCAGTGCCATTGCAACTTTGAATGGTCACTAAATGAACTGTTGTAAGTCAAAGACTACCAGTATGCAGAATGTTTTTCAAATAGCAGGAAAGCCCATTGTTTTGGCTCTGAAGTTGACAAGGTGCTTAGGAGCAGGCATGGATAGGAATTGGATCAGCTGCTTCTTTGCTCCAGGATTTCACAGTAGCCACACAATCTCAGAAAAAATATGTATTTCAGTTGAGATAGTACCAATATTTGCTTCTTAACTCAACCCACACTTTTTTTCAGAAATCACATGGCTAGACTATGAGGACAGAAAAAAAATGCAGGATCTTTAAGGAGAAATCAAGAGGTATAATGTGTATTTTCACGTCTAAAACCCTTTTTTCAGCTTCAGACTATAGAGTAGAACACATTCTTTTATACTTTTCATGAAATCTGATCAAAGAAAGGTTATTTTAGACATTCTTTCAAAAGAGAAGAACATTTTAGAGGATTTATCATGGATGAAGTATCCTTGAATTTATGTTGCTATATGGTGGCCAGGTGGTCAATGTGAAGATCTTGCCTTTTTTGTGATTTCCCATGTTTCCTTTCTATTTCAAGGAAATATATCAAGAGAGAACCCATCCTCCCTTTTCAGCATATTCACTACTACTGTAGTAAATATGGTTACTACTGTAACCACAAAAGGAATCTTGTCCATGATAAGTTGTTAAATAATTTCTCAGTCCCTTGGTAATAATTGAATAAATCATCCACCCAACTTTTCTACTTATAAATTTGGGGAATAATTTCTAAAGACTGTTTGTGTGCAATTCTATTATAAAAAAGAATTAATCAACATACTCTCAAAAAGGTACATCATTAGGCAAAACATTCCTACCTGCAGAATGCAGCTCATAATATCAGAGGCAATTTTTGCATGTGGTGTGTCTTCATCTTTACAAAAAGGTTTCAGATTGTGCTCTAAACATGACTCCCAGAGATCAATAAGAGCTTTTCCATGCTTCTCGATGGATTCTGTTTCCCTGATGGCTGAAGTAATTCGAGTGATACAAATCTCCACAACTGCTTGGTCATTGTCATTCATCTGATAGTCCTGAGATAAAATATGATAGCAGTTGGAGACTTTCCTGGATATCTGTTCCAAAGTCCATACCTGGAGGAAAGTGTTTATTCACTTATACATTTTCTAGTATTTAGACTGGCAGGGAGGCTGGTTCATTGTGACTGAAAAGCACTTGGCTAGACTGCACTAAAATCAAGATCTTAATTTGCATTCTTTAAAACATGTTAAAAAATTCAAACATTTGGTCATGGTTTTTCATAGCACACAATGAAACTCAGTAATCCAAAAGGCACGAAAATCATTGGCACAACCAGAATATAACTACTTTACCAGAATAACATGAAATACATACCTTATCTTTGGTGTTCAGTTGGGACCATGTAATTCCTTTACCTGTCTGGACAAGGCTGCCTCCAAACTTTTAAGGACAATATTTCAAGTGGCCCCTTGTATACTTAATATGGTTTTAAAGAGAGACAGAAAGCTCTAATCATGTATTATTGTCCACTAGTTATAGGCTTTATTGAAACATTATGGATTTTCAAGAGTTGGCCATTCTTATAATGGGCCATGTTTGAGCAATTACTGCATTGAAATAATCTGTTCAACTGGATCAATTTGCTCTAACAGGGATATGTTCCTAAGTAGCCCTGTCCCTTTGTTTACATTGGCAAAAAACTTAAATAACTCTTCCTAAACTCTGAAGTGCACTAACGTTAGCATGTTTTAGTGTCATCTCAACTGCTGTTGTTGAGGGTGAATATTTGTTTTTGTTTGTTTGTTTATTATAAAATTTATTGGCTGCCCATCTTATCAAAGGGTAAGTCTGGGCGGCTTACAATCATAAAAAATAAAAACTTTGCGGAGGTAAAAACATAAATAGGATACAACACACAGCCAAATATAGTAACCCAATTAAAAGACAGGAAGGCGGGAGCAAGTTAGGAGGGAAGGTGGGATCTGTGGTTAATCAGTCAACCATCTCCATTGTGATGCTTCTTTATTGGAGCCCCAAGCCACATCTTTAGGTACTTATGGAAGGTCAGCAGGGTTTATTTATCCTTTCCCTGTCTTTACATTAAGTACTATATTTTCTGTGTCAGAATCTTTAACAGAAAAATCTATTATGCTTCCTGCTTTTACCATTTTTCAAAGATCTTTCTTTTTTTCATTTGTATTCATTTAATTATTAAAATTATAATTTAATTTTTTTAAATTTTTATTCTAATTAAACTACCGTGAGAATTTTCCTAAAGGTTTAACAGCTAAATAAGCAAATTAATAATGTGTAAAGTTCATATCATTCTGGCTTTAGAAAAAGACAAGAAGCAAGGAATTTCAATAACAAAGTGAGTATCTTCATGTAATAAGCACCTCTAGCAGTTCCAATTTCAGGGATCAACCTTATAAGTAACTGTAATGTAATTCTTTCTCCCATTAAGAAACCAAGGAGGGACATTTGCCTAAATGTCCCGATTGTTACCCTTTATTGGAAGAAGTTTGCTGGAAGTTTTTTTTTTGTTGTTCTTTGAATCTTCCTGGAAACAGAACATACTGGGTGGAAGAAGAAAAAATAAAGCTCACAGATTACGAACTGTAAATTCTTTCAGGAGTCCATATAAATATCTAAGGGCAATAAGTAATTAGTACTTTAGAGATCTGATTTTATTTTGGATATGTTCAGTCTTGCTTGATTTCTGATGAAGCCATTTCCCCTAAGGCTAAATTCCATTTTGAATGGTACTATGCACGATTCCTTCGCTTACATTTACCCTGTGGATGCTGGTTGTTTTTCTCCAATCCTAACACACAACCATTTCTCCTGTTGTGCAGCTTATTAAATTAAATGTCAGTTTGTACCTCAATAGAGAAGGATGAAATCTAGTAATACACCTCAAAAGGCTAAAGTGTCTGCAGACTGACCAACACTTAAACAGTCTTTGTTAATGAAGAGAGAAAAAATACATTTTTATTTTTTGATTTTGATCCTAGATATCTGGTTGAAAAAAGACAAAAATTGTACCAAAATTCCAAATTATGGAAATCAGTAATTGCTGCACCACTCTGACCTATCTTGATTGTTGAGATTCTTACAATATGCAGAATAAAGCTAATCCTTGGTCGTGTGATAACATGGTTAGATCAGACAAGAAATTTGCACTGGTTTGCAATCAAGAATAAGACTTAATAGACAGCATTTCAGTAAAAACCCAGGAATTAGTCAACTTTCCAAAGACAAACCTATTTTGACTGTACTCCCTCTGCTGAGAATTACAATGGCTGGCATTTAATCCAATGTCACCCATAAAAATCCCACCCATAAAAAACTTTGCTCAAGGCCAGACTTATCCATACTGCAAAGAATCCACTCCCGTGAACTCTGTGCAGAACTCAAAAACCGTCTAGACAATGGAAAAAGGACCTATACATTGACTACCATGCTAATTGCATCAAAAGAAAGTCACACAATCCACAACTCCGCATCCAACCCCAACCCATCCAATCCAACATCACTCAAAACTAGGCACGCACGCCCCTAACTACCTCTATTCCAACCACAACTGGCCTTAAATGCAAGCTACTCAATGCAAGAAGCCTTGTAAATAAAATACCTGAATTTCTCCTCTTACTAAATATGGCTAAATTCGACATTATATTTGTCTGTGAAACATAGCTCAACGCATCTCTCTCTGACTCCATTACCACAGTAAGAGACTATCATGTTTACCGATCAGATCGTGAAATTCGTAGAGGAGGTGGTGTTGCTATCTTCTACAAAAAGTCCTTACATCTAAAAAACATCCAAGTTACCCAGGAGCTTGCTCTTCCTGAGACCATCATCTGTGAACTATCCTTAAATATCATATTTTGATTCTTACTATGTTACAGAGCACCTGATTATGACACTGAACATGTAAAGAAGCTAAATTCACTACTAACATGGGCAACATCCTGCCCACACACTTTTATCTTTCTTGGTGACTTCAATCTACCTCATATTAACTGGACTCTAAATGAATGTACAACTGAACCCATACATGCAACCTTCTACAATGCTGTTACAAATCTGGGACTGAAACAACTAGTAACCAACAACACTAGACTTAACAACTGCCTCGATCTCATCTTCTGCAATAGTTTGAATTTAATTTACGGAATACAAACTAAAGAACCCTTTTCCAACAGTGACCACAACATGATTGACTTTTGTCTCAACATACGTCCACACAAAAATCATCACAACAACGGAATCCCCAATTATAACTTTAAAAAAGGCAACTATGATCTTATAAACAATGATCTCTCATCCCTTGATTGGCAATTTCTATTTACTGGATGCAATACTGTAGAAGACCATTACAACATATTTTTACTTGAAGTCAAAAGAGTCATCAAACTATATGTACTAATAACAATTCCCAAAAGCAGAAAAAACAAATTACCCATAACAATAAGGAAGCTTCAGTCCAAAAAGAAATCACTTTGGTGGAAAAACAAATCTGGTCACGTTGCCAACTTCAAAAGCCAATACAAAAAATTATGCCACCAGATAAAGACTCAATGCACCAATTATCACATTAAACAAGAGGAAAACCTTCTACACACCAATTCTACCCACGTTTTCTGCAATTTTGTAAACAACAAACTAAAAGACTCAAGGTCCATCCCACCCCCGAAAGGACCTAATGGTAAAGACTGCAATGACCACACCATTAAAGTCAACCTTTTTAACACATTCTTTGGCTCAGTATTTGTAAATGCCCAGTATTTCCTAGTCAAACCACAGACAACTACAATGATCTAATACATATCGATTTTACAGAAGACAATGTTGAAAAAGCACTACGCAATCTAAAACCATCACTATCTATTGGACCAGATGGAATATGTGCCTACTTCTTTAAAAAGCTATCCACTGCCATAGCCGAACCTCTAAGCATAATCTTCGAAACATCTTTCAGGACCAGCTCCTTGCCAAAACTATGATCACAAGCCACAGTCATCCTCATCTTCAAAAAGGGAGACCCCAGCCTAGTTGAAAATTACAGACCAATCTCTATATGCTGTGTCACCTGTAAAGTCATGGAATCAATTATTAACCAATCCATTATCCTCCACTTAGAGACAAACAACCTACTATCTAATAAACAATTTGGTTTCAGAAAAAAACTATCCTGTAATCTGCAACTCTTACACTGCAAAAACATATGGACTACACAACTTGATCAGGGCAAAGCAATAGACGCAATCTACATAGACTTCTGTAAAGCTTTTGATTCAGTGGTACATGACAAACTACTCCTAAAACTAAAATCTTATGGTATCTCTAGACAGCTGCATAACTGGATAGAAGCATTCCTGTCAAACAGACAACAAATGGTCAAAATTGGGAGTGTCCTATCAAATTCTGTACCTGTCAACAGTGGTGTCCCCAAGGCAGCATTCCAAGATCAACTCTCTTCATACTCTACATAAATGACCTCTGTGATCATATTAAGAGCAACTGTGTTCTCTTTGCTGACGATGTAAAGGTATTCAACACCACAGACAATACTGCTACCCTTCAAAAAGACCTCGACTATGTATCAGAATGGTAAAACAAATGGCAACTTCAAATCTCAACAAATAAATGCTCTGTCTTACATATTGGCAAAAAATAATAATCTGAAAATAAAATACAAGCTGAATAGTCAAGACCTTGTTGATGATCCAAACTCTGTCAAGGACCTTTGAGATATTAACACAGTTGAGAAAGTCCAGAAATATTTCACAAGAAGAGTTCTCCACTCCTCTACTTGTTGCAGAATACCTTATGCCACCAGACTTGAAATTTTAGACCTAGAAAACCTAGAACTCCGCCACCTTTGGTCCGATCTAAGTATAGTATATAAAATCATACATTGCAATGTCGTACCTGTCAATGAATACTTCAGCTTCAACCATAAGAACACTACAGCAAACAATAGATACAAACTCAAGGTTAATCGCACCAAACTTGATTGCAGGAAATATGACTTCAGCAACAGAGT